CAGCGTCATAAATCCAGAAAAAATAAGGATCATTCCTTAAGGTTCGTTCTTTACTATGGTGCTTCTGGGCCTGTCTAGATATCTGACTTTATCGTCTCCAGAGAGATCCGCGCACAATGCTCCACGAGATCCTCCTCTCCCTCTCGGGTCAACCATCACCTCTTTTCAATCCAGAGACTGAAGGAAGTGCTATCTCTGAAGATGCCTTTCCCTTGGTTTCCCCTCCGGAGAAAGCCCTCCTCGCCTCTCTTGCCCGTCTGAGCCGTCTCCATACCGAACTACGAACACATACCGCCTCAATCTCCTCCTCCCACCCTTCTGTTATTTGTCGCGCAGTCTCGACGGCTATAAGTTCACGTCATCTGGGCGAATTCCAAAGGAAAATCTTAGAAGTGGAGAAATCGATTCTGGTAGAGGATAGTGGTTATGTGGGCGGTTACGGAATCGTGCCATTGTCGACGATTGTTGGCGAATTTTCTCCATGGACGCGACGATTGGAATGGCTGTGGGAGACGGTTAGGTTGATATGGCCCATAGACTCCCGGAATATAGACCAGCTTTGCACTGGCGTGGCTCTGATCGACCACCTTCGGGCGGAAACGCGAACAGGGTACGTTGACCTGAAAGACATGGCCTTGCATTTGGTTGGTATCGCAGAGACTGCTTGGATGAGGCAATTGTCCCCCTGGTTGCTGTACGGAAATCTCCCCATCCTCGGCGGATCCGACTTCTTCATACAACGCGATAATGCAAGCCATGATCAACCGCCCGCTGCCACGCAATTCGTCGTGCATCCAGGGCTCCTGCCCCAGTTTGTAACAGCGCATACAGCCTCATCCATATTGTTCATCGGCAAAACGTTGAATCTCATTAGAGCAAAGCGCAATGCACCTGCTGCGAACTCCTCTGCAGGCTTATCGACTACTTCCGTCACACTACACACGGAACTTATAGAACAGCTTGCTGCATTGAAATCACCTATATCAGCGTCGAGACTGTCGAGTGCCGTGAATGCCATCCGGTTCTCTCTGTCCCAAAGCACGCTCTCCAAGATTTTCCCACTACCCAAGATTCTCGAAGTCCTCTCAGTTCTCCACGATTTTCTATTACTCCGACGGGGCGAATTTGCAACGGCTTTGGTATCTCATGCGGATACACGCATTCAAGAGAGGTATCGGAAACACGGGCATTCAGCCTCTAGACATAACCCATCAGAAGATCTTAGGGGGCTTTCTATTAAGGAAGGAGATGTAGTGACTGCTCTGTCACAGACGCTCTCAGAGCTCTACTCGCTGCAAACCGAAGAAGATCCCGCAGACGATGAGCTTGATCTTGCAAAAGAGCTGCTTCGGCTGTCGATCAAACAGGATGTTGACAATATCCCAGCACTGTCTCCCGATCTTGCTGGGTCTGAGATGAATGCTAGAATCTCGGACGTCGCCTTTGACGATCTTCTTTTCCCCACTCCAACATGTCTCTCGGTCCACGTCCGCTCGCCTCTCGATTTGTTTCTGTCCGCCTCTGATATATCAGTCTACTCGAAGATTCACTCTTACATTCTTGGTATCCGACGCGCCCAGATGCATTTGGGCGACTTGTGGAAGCATACCTTCCTTCGAAAGATCCATCCATCCCCGTGGGGCCCACCTCGCAGCAGTACTCCTTACGGCCAGAGTAGACTAAAACTCGGCAGACAAAGAGACAACATCAGGACTCGGCAGATGAGGCCAGTCTGGGCAACGAGCAGTGCCTCCCTCTTTGTTCTATCAGAACTAGGGAGCTACTTCCAGGGAGAAGTTCTCAATGGCAACTGGCAACACTTTCGAGAATGGATCGAAGGTGGATCCCCAACAACGGGCTCACGACCTGGAACCGCGTCCTCCGCTAATAGTAAGCGCACCGACCATTTTCAGGCCATGAACGGCCCGGCCGAATCTGGTTCCGGAGGTGATAGTCAGATGGTCCAACGGCATGACCCTGAAACATTGACCGCGGCGCATCGTCGTTATCTCTTTTCTCTCGTTGAATCTCTTTTCCTCACGGACATACCCTTTACTAAAGCCCTTCGATCCTTACTGACGAGCGTGGAACACTTTATTGCACTAGTAGTTCGACTGGAAAGCATCCAGCGCAACATGGACCTCGAGACCGATGAGGGCGTTGTTGATGCTTTAGTAGACTATGCAGGGGAAGAGAGGGAGATATGGCAATCACTCAGTGTTGCGCGGGCTAGTGTCGAAGCAGGAATTAAGGACGCTGTGGCACGACTGCGAGACATTGATGACAGCCGATCTGGAGAAGGGCGGCAGATGCTTGAATTTGTGAAGGACTCACGCGAACATGGGTCGCTCCAAGCTAATGGCTCAGCGACCGAGTCTGCTTCCATCCACTACGTGCCTCGGAAAGCGGCTGGTGTTGACCGTCTGCTCATGAAGCTGGACTTTGGCAATGCTAATGGAGGCATGGGACTTGGAGTCACTGCTGCAGGTACTTTCGGTGAAATGGCATAATTAGCAGGCTGCTCATTGCTGGCACATTGCATTGAATCGGTCGAGCCGTGGCTGGCTATTGAGCAGCGAAGACAGATATGACTGTCATGTCACGTTATGATTTATGAATAGCATGACTTTACGGTGTAGGAAAGTGGCTATGGATAGATTTCTGTCTGTAATGCGTTCTATTCTAGGCCCATGTGCTCTGCCAGGAGGAACGTGACCTCGGGCGAGATCTGCTTTCCTTTCTCGCCGGTGCGTAAACATATACGTACTTACTTCCACGCGTCCTTTTTCTCCCAAGCAACGACGCCCAATTTCCTGCAGTTATGGTCACCGTCCAAGTGTGGTTGGGCCTGAAGATTTTGTCTAGACTGAAGGGATCTCCAAACGATCAATTAAACAATAACCGATCTTGCCGCATTGACAGGATGCTACAATCTACTCCACGGGGCTTCCAATCAATCAATAGACTCGCAGATATGCTTCCGGATGGGCAAACTCTCTGGTCTCATTGAAAAGACATAATCAAGCACTAATCCCTGCTGACATGCTAGTTCATGCTTACATGCATAATTAGTATCGAATGGAGATGCCGGAGGTCTGAATTTTGTCCTGGCAGATGGCCAGTTGTGCAGAGATGAAACGAAGGTCACCCATCAGGACGGTCGGTGCAGTCTAGACTGCCTGCAGGATCGCGACAGCTGTTCTCTGCGCACCTTATTTGATAAACAAACGTGAAAAGTCTGACGATGCACATGATCAGTGTTCGGTCCTATCACGGATTACCCAAATAGGAAAGTCACCCTGGCCGGTACGGAAGAGGAGGATTTGTTGTTTTCTTTTCTCTCTTTCGGTCTACGTTGGGATTCTCCCGCCATTCCCCATTCCCCCGACTCCTGGCCTTGGCTCTCACCCCTGTCTCGCACATACGGCTGCCACTGGACTTCTGTCTCGCAAAAAAGATGGATCGAATGCTAATTGTGTAAGGGGGTGAAAGGTCAAAAGAAGAAGGGTTCGAATATGGGGAGGCAGGGCGAGCTTGGCAGATCTGGAGGAATCTGCACCCTGGAATGCTCCGATCGTTGGACAATGATATGCCGTCGGAGTCATCCATGGTACCATCCCGGGTTGTCATTATTCGGAAGCTTCGTGCGATAGTGGCCAAAGTACCACCCTTACGTCCTCCCTGGGTCAATTACGGGGGTGCGGAGTATGGCAGTATGGGAGTTCTGGGGGAACAACCGGCAACTCAGAGCCGCCAGCAGAGAAAGGGGGGAGACCGGCATAACCTATCGCCGAATTTTGAGGCCACCGACATTTGCGATTATGAAATGATGAACCTCTCATGTGCCATACTTGCTTATTCTCAAACCCGCCCAAAGCGTGGGGAAGATCACCGGTGCACTGGGGAGAAAATCTAGAAGGATGAATGACCCCATGAAAATCGGGGCCGACGCAGCAAGGATACCCGGAAAAGGGCAGCCCTTCAAGTCCCGGATCCCACCAAAAGTACTGTATTCTTATCTTGCTGCAGGATGGGGTCGCGGATGCCGTGGGGACGGTTCCATGCTGCGAGGGCAGATTAATTACACCACCACTTCGATGCCGAGACCGTTATTGGAGGGTTCCATTCCATGGAAGCCTTCGGAGCTACAAGCCGGGGAGAGCTCTACCCTGCTTTTTGCACGCTACCTCTTGCACCACCATTACCATCATTCTCTGATTAGAACGGCTTAGACATCCGAGGATTCATTTTCCGTAGAAACAGTCCTCTGATTCACTGTGGCCAATATAGGGGATTGCCCGTCAGGGTCGCTGATGGAGCTGTTCTGACCGCTATTGCAGCAGCGTCGGTTCCAATCTGATCCAGCAGCTCGGTCTCCCCGTACACGGATATCCCGTTCTGGTGGGCCATTCCACTTTAATGAATGATTGATCGTCATCCCTCGATCAAATGATCAGGATGACTTGCCGGGTTCAGCAACCAAGCAATGAGAGAAGTCACGATGCCTGCTTCAGACACCACCATTCCCCCCTATTGTTCTGCTATGCGTCCGATGCCTGCCTTTCCGCCCTGCGTTGCCCTGTGGCAAGCTTTCCTGGCCATAGCTTATGCATGGACCAGCCCTGGTACCACGGATGGTCTTGGGCGATGATGTGGTCTGGGTCTTGAAGTCATCGTGAAAGCAGCTCTAGAATCTGACGATGGACCCATCAAGGCAATCACGCGGCCATCATATTTTTCTGATTCCTTCTATTTTCGGATGTCTTGTGCGACAGTTGGAGCTATGCGGTTTCGACGGGTCGTTGTCCGTTGGTCTTCTCCAGGTCTATAAACCCCAGGTTCTCCTACCAGGACAATGGAAGTCGACGATATTCTCTATAGCCATCGCGCCCCTGTGGTAGCCAAAGACTCTTCACTTTGCGTGCACAGTTGATTTCCATTCCGTTTTCGTCTATATCTTAATCTTTAATTTACTTAATAATCTTGCACGAACCATCGCCATGCGTTCTGTATTGTGCCGGTCGCTATCGGCCCTGGCCCCAGCCCGGTCGTGGGCACCATCCGCCATGATTCAGCCTATGTCACAGCGGCTGCACTCCACAGGGTCAGGTTCTCATGGCTCACACCACATCCAAACCCGGATACCGTCGTTGAAAGGCGAGCCCAAGCAGGGCCATCGGTTCCGCGAGTTTGACCTCGACGATCGTGTCTTCGCCATCACTGGTGGTGGACGAGGACTCGGATTGGCGATGGCTGAAGCTTTGATGGAGGCTGGTGCGAAAGGTACGATTCCAAGGATCTACGAAGCCAAATTTATCCCTTGGAGCGACTTCTAACCTAAATCTTCGTATACAGTCTACTGCCTGGATCGACTCGAGTCCCCCCACCCCGACTTCCTCGCCGCTCAAGAGCATGCCGAGAAGAACTATGGTGGCAGCCTGGAGTACCACCGTATTGATGTCCGGGATGAGTCTGAAGTGAACGACCTCTTTGCGGAAATCGCAGGCAAGAACCGGCGACTGGATGGCTTGATTGCCGCCGCAGGAATCAACCACCTGCAGAGCGCTCTGGAACACTCGCAGGTGGCTCTTAACGAAGTCATGCAAATCAACTTTAATGGAGTCTTCAACTCGGCCACTGCTGCTGCGCGGCAGATGTTCAACTACCAACAGAAGGGTTCCATCCTTCTCATTGCCAGCATGAGCGGTCTGATTGCCAACAAGGGAATGACCTCTCCCGTCTACAACGCCTCCAAGGCGGCTGTGATCCAGCTGTCCCGATCCCTCGCTATGGAATGGGGCCGTCACGGTATCCGCGTGAACAGCCTGTGCCCCGGCCATATCATCACCCCAATGGTGGAACAGGTGTTCCAGCAGAATCCCGCATCCCGAGCTGTCTGGGAAGCCGAGAACATGCTCGGACGACTTGCCTACCCGGAGGAATTCCGAGGTGCTGCTCTCTTCGCTCTGAGTGACGCGAGCAGCTTCATGACCGGCAGCACCATGCTCATCGACGGTGGCCACACGGCATGGTAAAATGCAGCTGCCTCGTCAATGATCACGAAGAAAAAAAACTACTACTTCCGGAGTTGGCAATAAATTAACAACACGTTGGGAAATGGTATTTAGAGAGGGTCCGTCCGGGGAGGAGTTCTATAAATAGCTTTGTGTAAAGGGATGAGCATTTCAAAAGTCGCCTACTATTATGGATGATTCTTTTTTCTTGGGGAAAGGGGGGACATACCCATGGCTTCTTTTTGATGTATCATACATACGGTTTTCTTATCTTTCTTCATGGCCTCATCACCAGCTTTATTTTTTTTGTTGCATTCTTTTTGGTCATGAGGGTTTTAAAGCGCGTCAAATGAACTGGTTTGGCTAATGGGATGATTTGATAGCTGTTTGGCTTGAATGAGCCTTTTACTTTGCTTGAATGGAAACGATAGGCTTTAGCCTTTGAAAGAGAGAAACCATTGATCTATCAATTATTCCCTCATGGTTTGAGTATGACTTTGGTATCTATCTAAACATTCATTAGATTCCACTCCACACATTCCCCACTACTCAACCTACGACTAACATCCTTTTTCTATAAAAGCTACCAAATTTCAGCAATCTACAAAATATACGTAAACTTCTCCCCCCTCCCACCATCACCACCACCACCACCACCTTGCCCACCCCCAAACCCACCCATAAGCACCTCCCTCTCCTCCAACTCAATCCCCTCCCCATCCGCACCCCTTTCCCCCTTCCCCCCCCTCATCTCCCTCCCCAAAAGCACCCTCAACACGCCCGCCAAAACCGCCACACCTACCATACACCCCGCGCAAACCGCCATGCCAGCCACATACCACGGCCCCTGACTCTCTGGATACAGCCTCGTCCCCAAAAGTGGCCCACACTGCCCAATAACATTCAGCAAGGCGACGCTCGCCCCCTTCCCCTCGTTCGCGGGCCGGTTATCCATGGTCCAAGTGATGATGAGGGTGATGGCGGAGAAGAACCCCGAGGTGGCGGGGTAGACGGCCAGATAGCGGATGGCGACGTGGATGGCGGGCGGGAGGTGCGAGTGGAAGTATCCCGCTAGGGCGATGGCCAGGTAGGCCGTTGCGGAGAGCAGCGCGTGGAAGATTAGGTATGGGCTGCGGGTGCGGGTGCGGTCCGAGAGGTGGGATGTTAGGAGGACGGTTAGGAAGGAGAGGAGGTAGGGTGGGGCGGAGAGGGCTTGCGAGGTTAGGGATGTGTAGCCCATGCTGTTTTTTTGGAGGTTGGGTGGTTAGTGAGGGTTGGTGGGAGGGGGAAGAGGATTGGGGGAGGGGGAGGGTTTACTCTTGGATGATGGTGGGGAGGAAGACGGGCATGGAGCTGAAGGCGACGTTGCAGGCGAAGAACATGAACTGTGATGATCGTGAGTGGATGTTAGGGACGGTGGTAGTCTTTGGGGGAGCTCACGGCTGTGATATAGGATTTGGGATCGGTAAGGGTCTTCTTGACTTCTTTCCAGTTGAAGGATTTGCGCTGCTGCGATGGCTGCTGGTGTGGTTTGTGGTTTGGTTTGAGCTCGTCCATGCGCAGCTGTGCGATGGCGCGCTGTCGGGGGTTTAGGAATGAGGCGCTCCCTGGTGTATCGGGGATGAGCATCCAGGCGAAGACGGCGACGACGATGCTGGGGAACCCTTCGACTAGGAAGAGGGTGCGCCAGGGGGCAATTGGGCCGTTGTCGCTCACGCGGACGATGATCCAGGCCAGGCTGCTGGCGAAGGATGAGGCGAGGGGAGCAGCGGAGATGAAGAGGCCGTTTCGGAAGGCGAGCTCTTCGCGCTTGTAGAAGAGTGAGAGATAGAAGGGTACTCCAGGGCCGAATGCTGCTTCGGTGATGCCGAGAGCTGCTCGGAGGAAGACGAGAGCTCCAAATGAAGTAGCGAGTGACTGGAGAGATGCGACAAGGCCCCAGCCGCAGACGCAGAGAGCGATGTAGATGTGCGGTGGGACGAGTTTGTACATGAGTGTCATCCATTCGAAGAGAATGTAGGTGATGTAGAAGGCCGTGAGGAGCCATTCATATTGCGATGAAGAGAGATGCAGGTCGTCTGCGAGACCGGCGATTTTGGCATTTCCAATGTCTGGCGTATGTTAGCTGATACCAATCTTAAGATGGGTTGTATAGAAGGTCTTGGCTGCGCCAAGGACAATTCACGTACTTGAACGATCCAGAAATGAAAGTAGATAAAGAAGAGCTAGAAAAGGGACCAATTTGCGATCGAATTGCTTGATGACTCCATCTTCTTCCTCTTTCGTGTACTTTGGCATGCTAATTCTACTACTCGAAAGGGGCTGCACATCATCGTAGGAATCATATCCTTCATCGAACCCGTCGTCAGTAAACGACTCCCCATCTGAGCTGAAGGCCGTCTGAACTCTCAGAGACCCGGCTGCCGGACGGTTTGGATTGGGGGAGCCATCATTCTCGGAGCGATCGGAGACAGGCGTATACTGAGGAGTGGACGAAGATCCACTGGAGACGGAGATGGCCTCGGTCGGGCCGGGGCGCAAGGAGGCCATCTTTGGGGGATTGGGGAGGGGTAGGAATGGCTTAGAAATTCATGCCTCCTGAAAGTCTAACGACCCGACCACTACCAAAAATGCTGGTCGGGATTGACTGCTTCGCCCTGAATGCGATGGAATTGTTACTGCTCGGAGGTTTACGTACACGCGTTGGAGCAAGTCAACATCGAGAAAGCAGATCGGAGGCACGTGGTGGCCGCTAAAGCAGCGATTTGCGCCAAGCCTTCATGTCATTTTCTTAACTACAAAGTACCAGCCAGCTACGTAGATAGTTATTTATTAACAGAAACGCTTCCTCCCTCCCGCCTCTCCGTTCTTAAAATTCCCCGCTTTGCCACGCTGCAATTCAATTCAAAAGCTCCAGCATCCATATTGAAAACAGGAAAACGCCCATCCCAATGCACCGAGGTTAGAACGCTTCAAAACGCCAGTAACTAAACCAACCCTTGCCTATCGAGCAACAGCAGCCTTTCCACTCTCCCATCACTACTTGCCAGGACGATAGGAGTCAACCTCGCGGTATCGGTGACGACGTCCCCTTCTTTTCTTGGAAGGATGATTGTGGGTGGAAGTAGTTGCACGAGGCTCGTCGAAGTGACGTCCGCGGCCCGCCAACTGAGCAGCTTTGCCCTTGGCACGTTCGAATGAATTCTCGATATCGGGGATCAAGGGATGGTCCGACATGTCATTGACTCGTAGAAAGTGAAGCGTGTTTTCAGATGTATCGCGGAAGTATTTGGCCAAGCTGATGTCAATATCTTCGGGGTCCTTCTTGCTGTATTCAGCCTTGGCCTTTTCGTACATCTGAATCAGTCGTTCCACTTGTTCGCGGCGACGAACTTCCTCAAGGGTGGGAGGTGGCCTTGGAGGAAGTATGTGCTGCAATCTACGAGAGTGCTCGTTGTCTTGGACGTGAGTCTTGAGCGCTTGCTCGGGAGACTGGGGTTGTTCCTCTGTAGGTGTAGCCTCATCGGTGACGCTGGGAGATGCAGTTGCTGTGAAGCCAATAAGGAATTGTTCATCCATAAATTTAGATGTAAGAAAAAGAAGAAGGGAAGTAGTCACCTCTGGTCACGGTCTCTTGAAGGATGTCATAGTCATGCAAAGCCTGTTTAGCATGGGCAATGGGAGAAAAAGTACAGACCCCAAGATATTCGGCCAGGTAGAGTTCGAGCGCTCCGACGTCTTGGGTATCATGGCCACCATTGGACAGGATCATTAGAGCATTGTCAAAGACAGTAATCTCTGCGTCTTCAACGTTCCTAGACCGGTGTCTCACGAGCGATGCCTGGCGTTGAATTGCATCGATGAGAGACCTCATGCTCTCTGGATCCTGAAGGATGGCTTGCAGAACAGCATTGGGCTCAGTGATGCGATCATACTTCCTTACGAGCTCGTCCACTTTGCGCTGGAAGAACTCGGAAGTCTGGACGTCGCGACTGGCCATGGTTGCTGCCTTGGCAAGCTTTTCTATAGGTAAAGGGTCAGATGAAGCTTGGGGATGGAGACTGGAGAAGTTACTTCTCGATGATAGGGGCGCTTACTTATGGAGATGTACACTTGCTGATGAGTTGGTGAACAACTGTACTGGAGAGGTATGAAAGTCAAGGAGAGTAGTGATGAGAGATATCGAACCTGTTCAACAACTCATTAATACTAGGCGGTAAATGTTAACAGGTAGTGAATTGCTGTCGGGTCTGCCTTGCAGGGCGCATTTGTGTATGGTCTGCGCGCGCAACTATTGCACAGAGCTGCATGTTCACAGCATGAGTGGGCTCATTGAACAGTGCAAACGGATTAAAATGATCAGAGTGGGATGGACAATATGAAACCATAAAGAAAAGGAAACCCGAGAATAGTAGAAAGCAAACAATGATTATGATTAAGTAGTAGGCATACAAACTGTTCGGCTAAAGACATGTCATAACTGGATATAGCATAGGTTGCCCTCACACATCATTTGCATCACGGAAAAGCTGTCACATCAGTCATAGCACATTATTAGTATCTCACCAAGCACAGCAAAGGCTCAGTTGACCTTGTCCCACAGCTTCTTCACTTCGTCCACGAGCACCGAGACTTTGCTGCCCTCTCCTTCCTGGGCGCAGTCCCTCCAGACTCCACCATCCCGGACACACCAGGTAGACTCATTCAATCGGAGCGTACAGCTGGTCCTGACATTGAGCTTCTCACTGTGCAGTGCACTCTTGCGCAACAGAGCAATGCCACTAAGCGGTGTCTGCTCGTCGCTATCATCGTCGTCGCCAAGGTCATCATACTCTCGACTGGCACACTTGTTCAGAGCCTCAAAGTCGATACCATGCTCCAAAGCACATCCCTGAACCAGGTCGCGCTTCGGAATATCGGGATACGAGCTGATAAGGCAGTTGGCAAACCCGAGCGACCGGATGGTTGGAGTACGGGACTGCTTGGAGCACATGGCACCGGAGTCAGGCGGAAAAGGCAGA